TTACCTCACCTTACCCCTTTAAGAACGTGACCGGTGAATGAGAAATTTGAGGGTTTAATTATGTTGAACTATGAATTATTGTATATTTTACTAGTTACACGTTAATCCTCAGTGGGTGAGACTCCATTTTTTATCAGTTTTTATTTTTAGACCATTCAGTCTTTACACAAATCCGTGTTAGTATTTTGAAGTTATTTTTTGAATTTTTCCATATTCAGTGTTCAAGTTTGCGAATATTTTCTCTGAATAAACAGAAATCTGGGGTTTTTCATTGTGACACTGTTTGTCATAGATAATGGTTGATTCGTTTACCTCACTTCGATGTTTGGTTCGAAGTGTGCATATAAACTAATACCGGTTTTATTTCCACATCTAAGATCCTTCAGAAACTCATCCTTTTTAAGTGAACCTACAATGCTTTGTTGAGACTTAGGTGAATAATTAGACTTAGATGTTTTGTACGTCTCTCTTATGAGAAAGTTGTAGCTATGATACCTTATGAAAATATTTTAATCAAGTTATGTTTGTTATAAAATATATTATATACAGGTAAAAATACGAAATATTTAATTGAAACGCTGCCTTCAATACCCGTTAACAAACACTCTAGTTTGTTTACTACTGGTTAGCAATAATGAAGTCATTAGAAGTAGATGGTGGTAAATGTTTTTGAGAAGATGGAAGGAAGCATAGCCAGATGGGCTTAGACAATTCTCATGTGTTGTCTGAGCATTCTTAATCGTCAGTGAATGTTCCATGATCACGTTTATTGAATTCACGAATACTTCTTAAGGAAGTCGAAGATATTATAAAAAAGATGTGTAGAAGTGAATTGGTAGAAAATATTGGGTACTTGATTGCTAGATTAATATCTGCAAATCCAAATAACAGACCATCTTCACAAACTCCATACATGAATTAAGTAAGCGTACGACTCACTATTTTATTTCCTATATTCGTGAAATATAGTTTTTGAATAACTTGTTCAGTCAATGATCAGAATTTATTGTTCATACTCAATGAAACTATTTACTAAGGGGTTTTTAAGTCAAAAGGAATATATTTCACAGCTCATTTCGATATTTAATAACTAAAAAGCAGTAAAGCACATTTTACATTATCGAAGATATCAATTCATGAGGAGGTAGTTGAATATATCATGTTTACAGGATGTAGCCGCTATAATAGACAGTATAAATGGTGCAATAATATACCGCATAAATCTCATTTATATGTTACGGTACAGCTTCATACCTTGTAAGACGACTATTTGAAACTCATATACCGTTGGCTGCAGAATTTTTTCATCTAGTAAAATTTTGGATGAATTAAGATATCAGAAGAAAAAAAATACCGATAGGCTTTAATATAAAATTTTTCAGGGAACGGTACTTCGTCGACAAGTTGGTTTTAGTATATAATTATGATGGCTGATATATTAGCTGCGTAATTAATATTTAAAAATGTTTATTTATTTATTTAAAACAAATAAACATTGGTACAAGGAGGCAATCAACCATAAACACATAGTTGAACTTTATTCACTAAACGATCCATAAAATATTTTTCCCTGATGGGTTCATTAGCTGTACTTATACGCCGTAGTTTAGGACCAGTCTGGTCGTTTAATCTTTAACATCCAGTTATTTTTTAAATCCCTTTCAAAATCTATATTTCACATGTTCTTACATGAAAAACTTACACTGTATTATCACGCTTCTCCGACGACTCAGTATGAATGTATTTAAATGTGACGCTTTGTGAAAGGTTCTAGTCTTTCCAATGGCAAAAATGAGCTATACTGTTGGATCCCAGCAAAAAATCTATGCCTTGGAGTCCATTACCGTTTCCTCTACTGACACAGTACCGTCTTATTTTATCAGATTTTTATATAGTGGATAGGATATCATGGTTATGATGCTCTGTATCCACAAGCATAGCCTTCAAATGCCCTGGTACGGCCGAGGGTGGGGAGAGTACGCTCTCCCTCTCGAACTGATCTCACATGGCCGCGCGTATATAGCCTCTTCTAGGGAAGTCCTACTCACTGCCTTCCCGGGGTGTTGTTTACGAAATTAAGAAGTCAAAAGCGGATGTCCGACGCTTTAATCGGGTTGGTGGACACGAAAAGTCCACCTAGGGGAGTTGGAAAATCCTGATTCCAAACCAATGGTGCTAATGGGCCACAGTATCCTGAGGGAACAAATGGCGTATGAACCAATTATTGGTCACCGGCTACCATGGGATTGCAACTCCTCACGATGCTCCACTACCTTGTGGTTTAGGCCTTCAGGTCAAAGGTTGGGGGTGTAGCCCCCTGAAAATACCACCTGCTTCGGTCGGGGCACCCGGGCAGTATCATAGCCCTCACACGATTAAATGAAATGACATTTTTTGTGTGGTGCATATATATCTGGTGCCCCCTTGTACCAATATTTATGTGTACAATAAAATTATGATGCTTACATAAAAATGTTTCATTAATCAGACTTTCTAATAATCTGCTAAAAACTTACGCTTTGAAGTGTCCCATAATTTTTTTTATTGAGTAGAGATTGATTTTTTAAAATTTAAGACAGTATTATTCTACGCTAATACTATTGGAGTTGACGTTATTACCGATAAATCTTTTATTTTCCGTTTTGCCACAAAAATGTTACAAATATTGTTGACATAAATACTAAGAGTATTAATTTCTAAGATATGACATTTAAGAGAGGTGATTTTTTAAATACCTGACAGGATAATTATCCAATTAGAAGCAAAGTCGTATAAACCTAAGGTTTGTAAGTTATTAGTACTGAAATAGATTTTTCTGAATAAGATAGAAATAGCCCTTTTTACTAATAATTATGTAAATGGTAACTTGTACATGTTAATGAACAGCGTACTAAATGTTGTATTATACGCCGTATTCCTTTTTTGAATTTCGTGTTAACATTTCATGTGTTACTACTGTTAACATATCTACACCATTTTATTTCTTTGTATTTAAGTTCATACTCTAAAAAAACAACCGTTCCTAAATTGTACTTATTGTCTTCCTCTTCTATCACCGGTGCTACATCGGTGTGTGGGTTAGATGTACTCGTTAGTCCTGTGGGTTAAATGTGTCCATAAGTCGGAGTCTAAATGATAGCTTACCGAGAATGCATACGTTTTCATGTCTATTAAAAGCCTATGCACCTAGGTTTCACCGCAACTAATAAACCCGACGCTCGGAATATTCACGTTACATGGACCAAATAGCTGACTTTTCATCCAAACAACTGTGGATTTATCGTACTTGCATATATATATATAGTAGCAAAAAGACCACCAGCTTCATCAAAGCCACAAACTTTATACCTAAAAAGCTCCAGGTTACAAAAAAATTTGAAAAATTACTGGAACTAGGCACAATCTCCCCATCTAGCATGGCATGATTGTTTATCTTGGATCTGCTGCATGTAGAAACATCTGGTAAGATGAGAGTATAAAGTGATTATGTAGGTTTAAACGAATAAATACTGGGCGAAAAGGGTCTCATATACTCACAACTCTACGAGTGACATGTATCGAGCTGCAGCCTTCTTAAAAATTGATGGAATCCTAGAGTTTGTAACTTTTAAAAAGCTCAAACAATTACATATAGACTATGTCTTTCCTAAACGGTGTATAGATAGAAATCGTGACTTGTAAATGAAATGAGAATATCGCATTTATAAAATGAGATATATCAAACATTTTACGAAGTTTATAATCACAGATATGCACAGCAAACTTTAAAAAGTGAATAAAATACAATTCATTAAATATTAGTTTATATTAAAGAAATAGATATTTGGAAGAGTGCAAACAACAAGGGTAACGATAAATTTATTTATTTTAATCGAGTTTATTGAACTGCAACTTAAAGAATATGGAGTTGAAATTAAATAAATGCTATCTCACTTGTAATACTGGAATCAAATACTGATTCAGCAATTTTGACTAAATATTGAATATTTAGATTATCAACTATATAATATAACTTTTGGTATTTAAATATATAAATTGAAAAATGTCTAAATTTTTGTAATTCGACATATCACAGCATTGTAGCACTTTGACAATTTTATAGAGAGCGGAAAAAGAAGTAGATACTAACATGTTGAATCTATTCATTTTGTTCACCAGTTTGATTTTGCGATTTGTGGTCTACACTTCATTTGGTGTTATTACAAACCCATTCATGTATTTCGATAGAATCTCAGATTTCCTAAGCCTAAATCCATTCAAGCCACATCAAATATTTTCAATCCACACTACAATAATTTAAGTTCCTCGATAGTTTTTGGTATAGTCAAATTAACTGAGTTAAGTGATTTTTCGAAGAAAGTCTGGGTGTAGATTCATGTGCTTGTGCTTTTAATTATCAACGCTATACAACCATAGTAGCTTATCTGTTAGGCTCACGTAAAACGTAGGTAGTCCAGCTAACAATCCCACCTTTTGTTCATGTTGTCAAAAATTGACAGTCAAAGATAAATAAACAATGACTCATTTTCTTAGTAGTTGGGATCATGAGTCAATTGAAGTTAGACCACCATGCAATACCTGGAAGCACTGGACGACCGTTTTGTCCTACTATGGGACTCCTGAGCAGTGCGTATCCACGATTTCGCCTCGCCAGATTCTATCTCGCGTGCGAGCGCCTAACCTCTAGACCTCCAACTGTGTTAATGTCATTTATTCTTTCGTGTTTGTACTTTTCCTTTTGACATTCAATTTAAAAGAAGCCTAAGTTCATTGTTTCAATGACCTTTAATAAGCGTCTGGAAAAAACGCATATCAAACAGTTCAACTTCTCACCCATGGCGTGATTTCTCAAGGTTCTAGACTTGTCTAATTTCTAATTGGTTGAATTACGTTCAGTTCTAATCAACCTATCATAGCAGAATAATTTTTCACCCCTATGATCTAGATGTATAAAGCACTAATCATGAACTATTTATTGAGAGAACGAGGAAGTGATTATTGTTTTTCTACGGGTAAGTTGATAGCTAAAGCCTATGTTGTTATTTTATTTTTGTTATTCGGGAAATGACTAAACTGAGTTATTTATCAGGTAGTAATGAAAATGAACATTTGTTTTTATTAAACACATAATAAATTTTAATTCATTTAACTGCCATTTTTGGTGTTTTGGATAACTTTAATTTTGTTTTAATGGGCTAACAATTGATTTATTGTACTGTTAATTGACTTATTGAATATTATGACAATCATTGGTAATACACAATAACATTTACCTATACTGCTAAACTGAATGAAATAGTAACCTCGTTTCATGTACGCTTAAAGATTTAGCTCAACCCTTGACGAGTGTATATTATTTATTTTGTTTATTCGTCAGTGCATTGGTTAGATACGTCTTCTGGCCACTTTCTCAACCTTCCCTAATCTTTGGGACATTGGGTGCTACCAAATAACACTGAACTATAAAGATTTCGAATCATATCATTTAAGACTGTTCACACCAAAGTTATAGTCAGTTACTTTGTGTAACAAAATTAATTTACTGAGTCTTATTTCATTTCTACATTTAACTTTTCGAAATACTAGACTTGCTACTTTGTCGGTGTTTTTAATCAAGTATATGACATATGTTGTCTTCTAGTTCTCGTTGTCTTAATCATAGATTTTATTTAAGGCCACTATCGGTCATCTTGTTTTTTATCTATAAAGGTTTGCTGTAATAATTGTGAGGTCAGTTTTACGTGGAGGAAACTTTTCAGGGTAGAATGAAAACCTTGAATTATATGAACCGGTATGTTTGCTAGATTTCTAGGTTAGAAACTGTTAAAAAATAATCCGTATTACTAGAACGGCTACCGACTTGTAAATACTCATCGTTCGCCGTGAATGAAAGTCCACAAAAAGCATAGAAATAATATTTAAACCGTCGCTCTATAGTGCAATTTCTAAAGCGAAATTTCGTATATGTATGTATACATATATTTCAGGTACTTTCACAAAAGTTACTTTCCTATTCACGATTATTTTGACGTTAATGGTTGCCAAATCACAAAGTGCTCACAAGAAAACTAACCATTATTGATATCTTACTTTTTAAAAGGGGCATGCGTCGGAAGTTAGTTTACAAAATATTTTGGTTAGCCAAAAGTTGCGTCGTTATTTTATCGTTTGCGATCAAGAACTAGTTAAAGATACTCCTTAATACATTACTCCTAATCAATAACTGATACAATTTGTGACATGTACACCTAACTCAGATAGATAATCGATTTCGATTACACCGGTACCAAGATTGTATTTGATAGGACTGATGTTTTCAAACATATTAATATTAAATAAAGCAGTCACATGTGCCTAAACATCAATCATTATTCTTAGTAGGTTATTTAATAATGCTTATTTGGCTATAATAATCAATAAAACTTATGTGACAACTGGGTATTTATTTGAAATAAGTCTTTGTCAATTCCCAAGTATATCTGTTTTGTAATCAAAGATTATGGGCAAGATTAGAATTATATGGATATTATCAAATTCATTTTAATTCACCAAAATATTTATTGCAGGCAATACATGCAGTAGATTGGATTTACAATTGTATTCAATCTTCTACTGTTTTCGAGTATTTTTCCAAGTCGTCATAAACATTATTTCGTTTGCAAACGATCGATTTCATAAAATCTTAGTGTTATTATTGCTATAATCTACTTGGAACAATGAAACGTTCTACGTTGTTTATTCATATGACAAAAAATCCACTATTCGACGAACAGATCGACGACGATTCGATTGTCTCCAGTGATGAAATACAAAAAAAACCACAATATAAATGTATGAGTTTGTTGAGTGTTGGTTTTAGTAGTATATTGAACTACAGGCTTTATCAGTGAATTTATTTGGTAGAAATTGACAGTGAATTTGGATGATAAAACTCAAATCCGAATATCTTCAATTCTTTGCTTATTCTAAACTTCACACTGACCACTAGTTATTTTTGTTATTTATCTATGTATTGGAAACGATTATTCATATTCTCTGAATATTTTAATTTTTCATTCCTTTTTTTGTCCCAAAGTATGCAGACCCGTGAATGTATTTATAGTTCTGTAAAGAAACACCATATTTGTCTACATCCAAATTTCGTGAATAAAAATTAGGTTGACGCAAACATACTTATTTTCATTGTCTAGTAGGGTGTCTTCTTGAACAGAATTTTCTCCTTCCCTCTCTAAATATGTATATATACATCTTCTAAATGCTGACATTTTCTAAATAAACTCAATTAATGACAATGTGACTGCTGTTATTTACATGTTTTGCTTTTATCACCGGGTTATCTTATACTTTGTTCACAACATTCTTGTAGCACATGATATTAGCAAATAAATTTTTAGTGTTTGATGTTTTCATAACACTAGGTGCGCTACTGTCGTTATTATAGTCAAATCTGTAATAAATAAATATTTAAGTGTTTGTGTAATTAGTAAATCCTAAAATATGCTGTCACGGATTTGATTGAACTTTCATTGTTTGTAAGCCAGTTTTCCTATTATATATATATATTCTCTTTTCCTCTGTAAATAAATCCACGTTTTCTCTAGTTTCGCTTTTAATTACAACTAGAACTAAATTGTGTGAATAAGGTGTTCCGTTGTATGGATATATGTACTTATAACACTTAATGATTTTTATAATACTGTTACGATATCACTCGTTCGCTTTTATAGATATCGGATATATCCAGATTAGAGTTTTTCTACTAATAATTTACTCATTCTGTTTAGAATAAATCCTTGCCACACTGATTTTCCCTAAAATTATGTCAACAACATGCTCACGAGTAAACACATAAAATAGAATAATCATCTTGAAATTCATTAATCGCTGAAAAGCAATTTGGTGAATGTAGCAGATACATGAAAATAATTCGTATCCACCATTTTCCACTAGTTACTTAATAAAACATAAGTAAAAATATGCAAGTTTGTAGTCCAGTCCATATTTATGAACAGTTTTAATCCTATATCTATATAAAAATATATTTGTTTGTGTCTATATTCGCATATTACTACGAGACAAATGGTTATTATGATGCTAATACCCATATAGTATATTCTTTTTAGACTGTTTATCAGATTATATTGCGTTAATTTGTTACTGTTTGCTCCATCATTGTTGATCTATATCCCATTGTTTTTAACTAATGGTCTATTTGGACAACAAGTGTCATTTGTTGATTGGATGCACTTCCGTTAAAATTTGTATACATTTGTACAACACGCTCACACCACTGACAAATCGAGACACTTGATGCTTGGTGAAATATTGGTTGCATTTAACTGAAATATATATTTATGCATATATTCCAGACCTCGAAGTTTATCGTTCTACATAACCTTACTACTTTGTCGTGTGTATCATGCTTTTACGGGTAATTGAACTGAACATTTCTATAAAAGTCACAAAACATTTTATTAATGTTTTCTTTATACATAATGCCTATATCAAATCCATGATTTCGTCGTTTTTCTCTAGTTATATTGAAATAATCAAATGTGTAACCTTTTTTAGTATTTTAGTCGTTTATTGTTTTTGATTTCTGTAAATCCTTAAACTGATAAATTTTTGACACTATTTTCGAATGCAATATGAAAATTCAAACCTTCTTTATATGTTCAAAAACAGTTTGTTTTTACCCAGAGTGGTGTTTCATTTATTGTCTTTGTTTCTCCTTACCTTCCGATTTACCTAGTTGATCTTTTGTTTTTTGATATATAAATGTTCTTAACAAGTTTATGTGATTAGATTGTTTGAAATGTACTGCACTAATAATCTTCGCCTTATTGCATTATCCAGATTTATCAAACATGAACTAATGGTTTTAAACTTTGCTGTTATTTCTTGTAGGTCTACAGAAATTTTTGTCCGTAAATTCACGTATATATGAGTGTGATATTTACAACAGTTGTTTGATTCTTTTGCACACATCTGCTCAGTTCATTGTTCTGCTATCTTATCTCACCATCGATTCGCAGCTTATATTCCACTGGATCTTACATATTACTATTGATAAACTCTTCTCCAGTAACAATTTGCTCGCACATAATTCATGGCTCGTATATCGAAACCTAATCGTATTTGCTTGATTTTATCCGTAGTTGCATTGCTTTTCTTGTCCCTGATTTGCGTAATTGGGCTATTTACATTCAACCATTTATTTGCTAGTCTAATTTCTAGGGTGAGTTTTTGGTTTGCCTTTTATATTATACACAAATATCCATATCTTCCCAGACATTTGCACGTGCTTTCATACGGAGAAAAAATGGTTAAGATTGGTAATTCTATTACAAAACGTATATTAGCTTATGCGAAACGTCTGTATATAGTTTGAATTTTTCTGTAAAGTGGTTTACACATCAAAACAGCTAAAATCTGTTTAAAAACCTATCATACCTCTTGTGAATACCAGATCTACTTCGGGACTAGCTGAGAAATGCCAATCAGTGGTTATTGTATGACAATGCTTTGATCTGAAGGATAGATGCATGAAGTGTTGTTTTATCATTCATGCAGTTCATCAACTAAAAAAATCATGATAGGATTCAGAATTGAAACCAATGATATTTGTAGTTTATCATCATTATTATTGTTTGTCTTTTATAGGAAAGCAGCAAAAGCAACACGAGTTTTTATGTAATTACTCCCATTACTTAATCCTCTCTTTTTATATCTTTTACTACCTTTTCCCTTAACGTCTCTTGCAAAGTATCATAATATATTTTAAAATAAACTACCAGCATACATAATCTTAAAGCTTAGATTAGCTTAATTAATTTTGCCTCTGTGGTAGAATACTTCTAAGTGATACACTTGTTGATATTGGTCTCAAATTGAAGTAGATGAATCTTATTTTCTACTTTAAATTACCTTTGTTAAGTGTATACCATAAAGATAAACCTAGTTAGTTATTTTGACTAACTAAACAGACAAACAATCATAATGAGTAGTGCATTTTGGTCCGTTCATATATGGATCTATATCTTAAGAATCAATTTAAATTCACTGATAACCTCACATTTGTATATCCGAAAGCATAATTAAGAATCTAACTACTGAGTATTTTTGCCGAATTATAAATTTGTTTACTTCTCTTTCATATATTTTAGAAACTTGCTATTTTGCCCGGTAGTGAAATTTTTGATAACTGGAAATCACCAAGTGTCCCTGTGTATTTTTCCATATATCTGTATAATTTGACCAATCCTGAAGAAGTTCTAAATGGTGGTCGACCACGATTTGATGAAGTTGGCCCTTACGTTTACCGGTTAGTTTATTTGTTTGATAGTTAATGTACTTTACAAGTCAACATTCTTTATGGGTAATGAGATTTGAAACTTTTACGTAATGTCTTCGCATGCGTAGTGTTTCCTTTATGTATATCTAATATGGCATCAATGACGATAATGATTACTTTTAAATTTTGAATACAGCGAGGATCGTCAACGTAACAATGTAGAATTTTCCGAAGAATCTCCTCCGAAAACTGTAAAATATCAACACAGAATTCTCTACTACTTTCAACCTGAACTTTCTGTTGGTCCTGATGATCAAGGAATCGTTACAAGTCTTGATCTGGTAACAGTGGTAAGTTGAATGACACTTCCTTCAAATTCATTATGTTACAACTCTGTTTTTGTGTGTTGCCACCGATTTAGTTTAACAAGTTCTGCTCATTTAAATTTCGTCTTAAAATTGTGTGACTCCACCTGTGGCTCTTCTAGGGTTACTGCCAGTCCCAAGCACGGATGAAGGAGGAGGGTCGGGCATATGGTCAGCAACCCCATCCCGTAGAAAACAACCTTGCTAATAGAACGCCAACCATATTAAACAAATTAAACCATTTGAACTCTACCCTCCGAGTCGAAAGAAGAATTATGACACCTCAGAATGAAAGCCGATATTCTTCGGACGTCACGAGACCGACGCCTCTTATAACAACCCGAGCAACAATTAACATAGGTACATGGAGTGTTCGGACATTGTGGGAGACTAGGAGAACCAATCAAATAGCAAGGGAAATGAGGAGACACAACTTGGCTATGCTCGGAAACAGGGAAACCCATTGGACACAAGCTGGACTGAAAAGGATAGATTTATGAGAGATGCTTCTCTAATCTATTCATGAAGAAGAAAGTGTATTCGACAAAATGGTTGAAGGTGGCACAATATCCTCACACAAACACAAAGTCTCATAGGTCTCACAGGATCACACTACAAAGAACCAGATAGATAATATTTGTAATACTAAAACATTCAAAAGGTCAGTGGTGAACTTGAGAACCAGAAGAGGAGCTGACACAGCTTCAGATCACGACCTGATTGTGTCCAAGATGAAACTGAAGCTAAAGAAGCAATGAACAACTGGAGAAATAGCATTACAAAGATTCAATATAGCCTTACTTCGACATACTGACAAACTCAACGAATTCAAGATAGCTCTTAACAACAGGTTCCAAGTCTTACAAGATCTACTGGAAAAAAAGAGGACATTACTGTGGATGACAATTCTAAAGGGATCGAAAAAGCACTAATTTCAACGTGTCAGGAGGTTCTGGATTACAAGAAGCATCATCACCCTGCATAAGATTCAAGAAAGGAAGAACAAGGAGACAACAATTTACGAACAGGAGCAGAAAAAGTCAAGGCACAAGCTGAATACACAGAAGCAAACAAACAACTGAAGAAAAGCATTAGAGTTGATAAGCGGAGATACTTCCAAGACCTAGCAAAGACAACGTAAAAAGCTACAAGGGAAGGAAATATGAAACAACTGTATGTCACAACGACGAAACTGGAAGGGAAATATAGTAAACTAGAGACCGGTCAAAGTGAAAGAAGGCAAGGTAATCACAGATTCGGAAGCAGAGCAAAAGATGGGTGGAACACTTGGAGGGACTCTTGAACAGATTAGTCCTCTGAGCTCACCGGACATCGAAGCAGCGTCCATAGATGTCACTCCACCAACGATCGGAGAAATCAGGATTGGCATCAGACAAATCAAGAGTGAGAAAGCAGCAGGACCTGAAAATATACCACCTGAAGAAACTGCAAACCTGCTCCATGTTTTATTCAGGAAAATTTGGGAGGAAATACAAGTGCCATTGACAAATTAAAAAGAAGGATACCTCATCAAGATACCAAAGAAAAGATATCTGAGCAAATGTGAGAACTGTAGAGGAGTCATTCTAATGTCGCTACCAGGAAAAGGTTTCAACAAAGTGTTTCTGAACAACATGAAAGATTCAGTAGACGCCCAACTTTGAGATCAACAGGCCGAATTCCGTAAGGATCAGTTGTGCACCGACCAAATCGTGACACTGCCGATTATCGTTAAACAATCAATTGAATAGAACTCACACCTTTTGTGTAGGTACTCACTAGCAAAACTTTTGATTGTCAATTAATAAGCTGGACCCTTTCAGGTGGTTGTACATCCTTAAACTTGTTATATGTCATATTGACTGATTCATTTACTTAAAATCATAACTAATCCAATGAATTAAAACTATTATTTGAGTTTATGCATTGATGTAAATATGTTAATTCAAGACTCTTGTTATTATCAATCTTATTTGATTCTTATTTAGGATACATATAGTTTGTGGACGAATTGACTGATTATTATCTGATGATTCGTTACTTACCGGTGGAGTCAACTCTAAAAAGCTAATATTACCTTTTGGAAGACAGTTATTGAACTATTAAGAATTCTGTTTTACCTATAATTTGCTACTTCTGTTTTTCCAGTTGTTATCACCTGTTGATGTATTCTCTGAAATTTATTATGCATGCATCTTTGAAAGTTTCAGAAATAGGTTGCTCAAACCAGCGAAACACTTGTAGAATTTTCGTTTGTCACATTCCCTTAATCATGTCAACCTTATATTTTTATTGTGTTACGATAGGCCATAAATAATCTTCCGGAATACCTCAAAATAGCATTTTTTTTATACACGTTCAACGCATTTGTTTCGAAGACACCTCGTGAAATCATTTGGGGTTACGAAGATCCACTGATGTCTGCTTGTCTAAGTTATGGAACTTGTGACACAGATCGTGCTGGCTTAATGGTTACGGTAATTTGCTTTTACCTACAAATTTTGATTTTATTTATTATGCACTACCAGTTGTTCCGTATTTTAAACTTACTTTGAGTATTACTATATTTAATATATGTGTATAAAGTTGATGAAGGCTACATTCGCTTTAACTTCCATATCCTGAATTTCCTAATTCGTTCCATTGTAGTCTACTTATGTACTAAACGCAGAGAGTTACTTGTTATGTGTTTCCTTGGATTTAGCAGTCTTATGATTGTGCTACTTATTGTAATTTTTATATAGATTCAAATTTGCGGTTAACATTAAAAAGATTGGTTTATTTACGCCTAACAATAAACTTTGAAAGTATAACGGTAAGTATTAAAAAAAGTAGTTATTGGTTTAGGTGTTATCGAAATATTGTGCTCAATATGTTTGGATGCACACTTTCTTTTAACCTAAATATATGAAGGCACATTAAGAAACATTATATCTCGGTGAAACTAAGTTATTAAAATACAGATCACTGCACAAATAATTGGCTTTTATATCCATCTTTAAACAACTATAATAACTGATTATGTCATTTTGAACATTATTAATATTATTAGGCAACAGACGGGTTTTAGGAGTGTGAAGACGTAATGTGTGAAAAATTATTCATCAATATGTGGTTGGGTGTGAACAATAACAAAGTTAAACCACAGTTGTTTTGTTGTTATCCCAAGGGTGCAGCGGCAAATAAATATACATAAGTAAAGATTTATAAAATACCTTATAATCACAATACAGGCTAACGAAGCTTATCAAGTAACTGGAGTGTCTTGGTCAATGTTTGTAAAGCATTGACCAGTTTTAAGATGATTTCTAAATAAAATCAAAACCTTTCGACAAACATCCAAAACCAGGAGAACAAAACAGCTGTTTTGAGAACTTATAGAAGTGTACACTATCGGACCACGGACTTACAATACCTGAAGATTTTACACTGCTGTTAAGCATTATTTTCAATATTTTCCAAGTTATTTAATCAGTATGTATATCTATTACCGTTATATCCTATTCTGGAAACTGTAGCTAAGCACTATGTGTAAAATGACGGCAGTATCTATTTTCTGTTGACTATTTACTTACGTAAAAAGAGGAACCTATGTAGGACCTTAACTATATTAACTAGTTGTATGATAAAGAACACATTACTTTGTTGATTCATCTATTCAGAATTACTTATATGCGTTGTAAGTAAATGATTAGTCATCTTGTGATGTATTCTTCAAAATGTTTGAACCACTGAGGTCTTGAATCAGTTAAAATCTCTGTAATGAGCCATAATAGTCAATCAAATTAAATTTTTTGTGGCAATTACCACAGTTGATTTTCCTTCATGGATTGAAATCTAGTATAGTCACATGCTCGTATAGTTAATCGGTTCGTCTTGCTTCATACAATTGCTTTCGTAACCTCATCCGGTTGTTTTTGCCACCAACAAATCAACGTATAATTCCATTGACCTTGAGATTCGCCCTTTATCTATTGGTTAGTGTACAACCTTATCTATCTTTTACTTTTAATCGAATAATCAAAAGAATTAGGTTCTCTAAACTTTGTATATATGTAACATTTGATAACATCAGATAAAAATGATACTTAAGGTGTACTGAACTATAAAAGTACTTACTCTTGGTATTTTCTTACAGCAATCTCAGTGTGGTTATTCAAGTGTTCTGTTACCATATTTAATTTCCCTATTTGTTCACAATAGTCTCTACTAAAAAGTTTTCATGAAATCTCCACTCTCTGAAATGTTTATTATATATAATAGATCAGTAATTCATTGGTTTAAGCGTTTGAATGTCAACTATTCAGTTATCGATCTAAACTTTTCTTCACTTTCGGGAATTTTAAAAATCGAGGTACAAACACTAGTTCTGTACCATCAACTCATAATTCAGTACGTGGTTATTATATTGTAAGGAAGATTTCCGAATAATAAAAACCTTTCACCTGACAGAAAAATAAATTCAGTAACTTCTTAAACTGTTTAAGAAAAATAAACTGGAGGATTGCGCAATTATCGATGGACTATTCGGTATCTAGAAAAAAGATCATAATCAGTGTTTTTCCTAACCAATGATTACAAGATGTTTAACGATAAGCATGGAAACTCACATCATCGTCAATATTCCACTTTGATTTATCAGACTGAATACACGATTTGATAAGTAGTTGAAACCGAACACTAATTGTGTGCATAAGGCTAAATACAAATAGCTGCAAAGTAGGTTTGTTTCCCCCATAGGTTGTTTTTTCATTTAACTATTTCTTGTTCACTAAACGTAAAATATTACTAACATAGTGATTTATTGGTGTCGATAAAATCCACCGTAACTTATGAAATCCTGAACGATGCTTTTATCTCAACAGGTTACAATAAAACTAATATAACAACTCTTCGGTATCCCGTAGGTATATAAATTTTTTAAACCTGTGTGAATTTCCTACGTCTAAATGTTATTATACGAATAAACGTCTCAGCTCAGTCTCAAGATATACAGTAAACTCTGACAACAGATTCCTAAGAGTAATCCCAGTTTCAGCATGTACAAATTACACAGTTATGTTGCTGGGATCTCGTGTGTGTATATTTTTGCTCTTCAGATACGAAGTATTTAAAAATGTTTTATTTTATTTACATATCTGTAAAATTAACTATGAGCTGATTAGTTAGTATGTTTTAATGAGTTATGTTTGCTTTAATTATCATAAAGCCATGACTTGAAAGTTTTAGAATAAAACTCGATTTTATGTATTTTTTAAGGCCCTTTATTTCCTTTTTTCACCTCTAGAAAAATGGTACGAAAGTTTCTGATTTCGTCATTGACACCGGTGCTTATAATATTTCAAACGTCGGGAAAGTGCTAAGATACAATGGAGAAACGTAAGTATATGTATATAAATCCATCAGTAACTTTATTAGATATAGCTATGGCTTTGCAATTAAGGGAATCAACTTCCTGCAATTCAGTTGGGTGTTCCAAACTCAGTCTATTTATATCAGTCCGGACAACCTGAGAGTATTGATTGATTGAAAATTAAAATGTAGAACAATACAGTTCTATAGATAAATAAACAGATATTTTCAATATTTATTCTGCCTAATCTGTGACTCGCTACTGTTAAGATCTGTAAAATCTCTTCAGGATTAAGCAAATAGAAGTTATTAGTTTACGTCCTAAGTAATAGGCAGTATGCTTTATGTTCACGTTGTATAGCAATCTAAAGGATGTCACAGCTTTGTATTTAGTTTGTTCTGTCTTTATCTAGAATGATTATGAAATTTTTAACATGTTGCCGTCAATTAACGCATCCCAAAAGAATTTTTGACAATTAATGTTTTAATCCAAAAATTTCAATTACCAATGGGTGTATGTACATCTTTTGGGTGTTTAACTTTGTAGACATTATATGTAAAAAAAAAATAGTATACACTTAATGATCATAGCCTAACCTGTTATTACTATTGAAGTGATAGATGATAAATGCGTTCTAAGTGATTTTAGATATTTGTGATTGGTCTTTCTTGAGAATATAATACCTATTTTCCTAAGGTGATTTTACTCCGAATAAGCTAGAAACCGTATACACATCAGCAACAATATAGAAATTTAATTAACTTATGATTATTTGTTCCGTGTCAATAATTCAATGAGTTTTTTTCCACTTACACTCTCTGTGATCAGATAACCAGTAATCTCATTGAAAGTCACTCAGTAAATCTCGGATGTACATCGTTTCCGACAATCGTTAAATTTATTACATGTGTTAATTCCATGTAATATAATATATATTATACTCGCATAAGTATTATGCTTTCATTTTGTTCTTATTTAGATCTTTGAACTATTGGCATACTGATTACGCTAATATGATAAATGGCACAGGTACGTTAGTTTCTAGCTGAATGTTAAATTGTTTTTACACCTTCATTATCGATATTCGAATACCATTTTTATATATCATATACAGCTTATAAACTCCATTATCTCTTAATCAACTCCAAAAATATGCACATTAACAGCTGTTAAAAAACTTAAATTTTCAAGTTGATATTTAAATTTTCTGAACTTAACAAGTGAATACCCCAATGTCAGTCAGTCAGCTGCAACGTAGGACCAGGCATATATATACATCGGTCCAAGTTGCCATAACCTCATTAGCACAACAAGATGAACACCAAATTCATAGTAGCTACTCCAAATATAGTAATATATAAAAGGAAGACTGTGTATAAGGATATATAATACAGGAAGAAAGAAGTAGTTCGTAGAAAGAAAGGTGTAAATCAATTTTAATCTCATGGTTTAAGAGAAGACAGAGTGTATACATTTACACCATTGTAATCGATTCTGGCCCATGTCATGCAGGGTCTCCAACCATTGGTTACAATAGTCGCGCGGACCCCAACCAAGTGGTCTGCATCTACCAACATGGCTCAGACTAGAAGTTAGTGACTTCAAGGACTGATGCCACGTTTTGGTTCGGTCGCCCCTAACTTTCTTCCAAACGTTTTCAACACTAGTAATACCCTAATGCCTTACTTACTTACACCTGTTACTCCTACTGGAAGGGCATAGGCCGCCCACCAGCATTCTCCATCCAACTCTGTCTTGGGCATTCCTTTCCAGTTGTTTCCATCCTTTTGGTTTCTGCTTCCAATACTCGACACAGTGTTCTCTGACCTTCCTCCATTTGTAGCTCTTCCGGGGTTAGTGCCGGTTCCAAGCCCGGGTAAAGGAGGAAGGTTGCTCATGAGGTCAGCAAACCCCCATTTCGTGCAAAACAACTTTGCTAAAGAACGCTAACCAGAATAAACATATTAAACCTAATACTTACTGCGATGCTTAATTTGAAAGCAAAGAGCAGTAAGCGGACGAACTTGGTAAACATGGTGAGTCGCTCGAATTGTGCGTAAAGCTTCTCCAACTGAGATAAATAAAATATGTTTAAACATCTAGTGCCACTATTTTCTCTAGCGCATTATGTCAGTTACCACAAAAGTAGGTCATATAATCAACTCATAAAGCAATTGACTGTCATTCGGAACAGGGGAATAATGTTCAAGACTAAGAGTAGTCGTGAAAAACAAAATATTTTAAATATGTAAAGCAGATATTATCGATAAGTATATTAATTAATGTATCTCATACCTTCGGTATACTTCACTTATCCCGATTTCTATGTTGTTGGGTTATCTCTATTCAGTAATTTAACCCCTAAATTAAGAAAACACAAAATAGCTGTTTCATTCTGTTTTGTTAATTTGTTATTCATGAATAGTTCCATAGTTAAACATTATAACTATTCGGTTTAGTATCTAGTATCATTGTTCTCCATAAAAATGTCAGCAGGTCCACAATTACTACATGATATTTCACGTCGATTTACAATAACAGTTTGTATTGTGACTTGATTTTATCTTCGTGATGAATACTAAGAAGTTTGAAACTGGAGAACGAAATTTCTCTATTGTTTCCTACATCACAAATTATTATTCTTAATAATTCTTTTTTACTTTCAGATGGAAGTGTTATACGGCCAGGACTACAAATGTCTTCTCGAATCTTCTTCTTTGTGCCAGATTTCTGCAGATCGTTTCATTCAGATGCTGTTGGTTGGGCGACTGCAACTCATGACAGTGGTGTACATGTAAGTACAGGTATCTAATAATTACACGAGTAGAATATCAGTTATACTAAAAAGTATCCAATAATTTTCGTATTTGTTTCTGCTCGTGTGTATTCTGTTATTTTTTCCAATATCCTAACTAAAATATGAATCATGATTTTCCCACTGTGTCTTTCCCTTTTTTTACAGTAACAATTATATACTTAACTGTCTCAACACAGCTATAGGAATGTTACTTCTGCGCCGGTTTGTGAGTTAACAGAGAAAATGCATTTTCAAATTTAGAAATCTAGTATCCAGGTAATCAATTATGATCTAAATTAGATGAATGGATACCACCACCACAAAACTGATAAATTCTTAATTCTGTCAAGTGTACTTACAACGACTGATTATCTGCTTCTAATAGAGTGTAATCTTTAGTTCTCAATGAAGACCTAAATTTGTGTTCCTATTATGTTTCAATCTCAGCTAGCTAAAACTAGCCAAAATAATTAATACTTTACATTTTCCTGTGAACATTGACCGAGTGTGTGGTACGCATTTGCTAATAACACTGTTAAGTGTTCTTCTATGTTACAGTACTCAGCATGAAAGACATTTCAACTCAGTTAAAAAAGGATAATTGTTTTGTCGTTTTCCTGCGTCATCCTAGACTTTCTGTCAACGAAGCCACAAATCGTTGTATAAAAACAAAAGGAATGTGTATACTAAGGTCATTTAACATTTAAACACTCCTTTAACTTTTCAGAGAAATAATGAGGCAGAATCATGTAAAGCCTTTTGCGTGGGTTTAGAATGTCACACACATAAAGGGAAGCGAAGGGTTAATGAAGATTGGTGAACTTTTTAAAATTGACGATAAATTTGAGAAATTACAAGCATATTTAATATAGTAGGGTGGTTAAGGATATTATTCTAACGTTTAGGTCGAACTACCAAATCTTACGAAAACTTCAACTAAATGATTTTCGAAATTCAATCTTCAAAACTGTTTATTTTGTACATAATGTCGACCAAATTGCAAGAGAATGTAATTACTGTTTCCTTGGAAGTTTGTTATCATTAAATTTAAAAAGATAAAACTGAAACCTCTTACATATTTCCTTAGTCAACTGTGTACATTGAATTCACTTGACTATCAGACTATCATACAGTACAGCTTCAATGTTTTAGATTTATTCATCCAAAGCTTCGTTTTACTTACACTATAGGATAGATACCGTTTTCATTGCGATCCTTAAGATTTTCCGTGAACCGTTATCGCTAGTTATTGGGTCACTAATCAACTAGACTATTTTATGCGCTCACACATACACGTAATATATATGGCTCAGTGTAGCAAATCGACCAGTTATGTTTACTGAATTTCATTGATTTATTTTTTATATTTATCTCAGTCATTGGATTTATATGCTGCTATATTGATGTTTTACTTAAATGGTTCACACTCCCACACTGGGATCATTTATACAGTGAAGTGAAAATGCAGGATAAAAGGGAATTTTCGAAGACCAAAGCAAACGCAAATTGGTGAATGTTTCTGTGATGATGATAACATTTGGTCTATTTTATCAGACTATTTAGAGTTGAGTAATCGAAATTAGGGTTTATTATTTTAATTATTCGTATGCCCTAATTATGTTGGAGAGTATAAATCGTTTACACATTACAGCTTATCATCAAATAACAGAATTAGTGTTTAAATGGAAATTGTATGTCCACAACAAAATTTCTACTTTTCTTCATTGAGATATTTCATTTCTTTTTAATGGGTGCGTATTTTTCTGAAACGACTTGTATTGATAGTTCACATTTTAATTCATTTTCTAAAAGTTCTCACTGATCATGTTACAAGCTATATGTATATTTGTTCATCGCTAGTTAGTGGATGAAATCCATAGGCTTCAAATGAAAATGATATTCAGTGAGATATTTGATTTAGTTTCTACTGTGGATTATATGTGTTTGGCGGATAGTATAACCTTATAAAGTGATTCTTCCTCAGCTCTTCATGATAAGCATGCGAAGTTACATAAAACGGTGACTAGTCATCAAACTTTTGTGACAAAGCTACAATAGGCTGAATAAATCAATTCGCTTGTGTTGAATAAAGGAGTGAGAATAAAGTACTTTTCCTAATCTGAATTATCATCTTTATGTTTGGAAATTTTCTTGGTATTGGGATTTTCAAATTACATGTAAATTAGCAGGCATTTATTTCGCTATAGGCGACCTAAAAATTTATCATCGTTAAATCGTGCAACATCTAAAGGGGTTTGTTTTTTGTTTCTTGACCTCGAGGTAAACTTCATTTTCAGTATACATTTCACTGGATCTTGATTTCACTTTTATCACTCCTGGGCTTCACATGTCACATTGTTATTGAGATCGGTAGCTAATAAACACTGTATACTATATGTAGTAAAGTAAAGATCTATCATTACTATTGTCACGTAAAATATTACTAAAAGTAATTACAAAACCAGAAATGCATTATTATTAGATTACATATGTCTTCGTATATTTTTTTTCATTTCAAGCTACTTAGATTTGCGTCTCATCCCGAACAATCTCAGAACGCTACTGTTAATCCTCTGAATGCTGCATTCTGTCCGAAGAAGAAGGCCGGTCCAGACTGTCCTCCAACAGGAATGATACCTTTGTCACCTTGCTCGAACCCTAGGATTGCAGTCCCTATATTTGCTTGTCAGCCACATTTCTTGGGAGCTGACCCAAGTATTCGGGCGGCCATGGATGGGATAAGGGAGCCTGATGTAAAGCACGATTCTACTATATTACTTATTGAGCCTGTAAGTGACATGTTGATATTCCATTTTACCAGTTAACTACTTCAACTGATCCTCAAGTTGTATAGTTTACTGATTGACTTATTCTCCCTGGTTTTTCTTAAATTCATTTTTTTAAATTACAATTCTCCCATGCTGTGCCAGTGCTAGATTGAGAATGATGGAATTCAGTTTATATTTTAATATTCATAAGCAATTAAAATTTTAATAAACATGCTCTGTCTAGAAGGAGTTTACATTTAGCTTAATGTACGATATTTCATTAACACTACAAAGTATTATACCTTTGTTCTCAATTAAGGGAGATGTTTTCATTGTTGTTTGGTTGATATATAACCGTGCTTGTATAGCAATAGGATCTTTGGTTACGTGGCAGTTAGTTGCATTCTAAGTTTTCGAAGACGATCATTATTGGTATAACTAGAAGCAAAATGAAGTGTAAATACTCTTTCCAATAAATCTTTGGTGTGTTTCCTGATGCTTAGTTTGTTAAACTAGTTCTTCCTCATATATTTACACTTGCCTGAAATTTATTGCTATCCATTACAGGTGACTTATAGAGTATAATAGTCGTGTCTAAACCAATCGGGATCAAAACCTAAAAGGTGTGCTATTTTTTCCTACCTGGTTATGATAATGTTTTATTATTAGCATTACATAATTAGGTTCGACATTGTAAGTTCTTCGTTTCGAAGTTCACATATCCAGTTATTTTGTAAATCAGAAATTTAACATAAATTAACATCATGTGATAGTTCTTTTTCTATTTTTTGAGATATTCACACCTGATGATGAATAGACATACATATTGTTACTGCTACAATGTAAGACCTCTTGCTAAATTGAAATTATTTTAATACATATGCAAACATTGTGTTTATCCTTTTTGCTTTTTTGTTTAATACACCATAGAATACTGGATTTGTATTGGAAGCTTTTAAAAAGGTTCAAATTAATGCATACATTGAAAACCGTGCCAGTTTGTAAGTTATTTTTAGTCATATTAAGAACACTTTAATTCTTTTTCCTCCATACATTATTTATTTTCAATAAAATTTGTTCGAATATAATTAATTTAAAAAAGTCTCATTTTTTTTAATTTCATGTTCAAATATCATTAACTTCTAGACTGAAGTCCACTACTCTGAGTAATTATTATGACTGGGTTATGCACCGAAATACATAAAATCCTGGAAAAATGTTAACTTATATATGGTTCGGGTATAATCTTGGTCTATTTTGTGGTGCACTTTCAACTTTAAAAGTGCAATATAATCATAAAAATTTAGTTTTAATGCACCCTTTATAAATAGTTGGTTGACTGTTTCATCATGTTCAACTGTCTGTAGATATTGTTTGTTGAAATTGTTATATCCCCTGGTGAATTATGAATGATAACTCTAAGGACTATTTATCGACCAATGTATTATGACTATTTCTTATTGTACAGTTGTTACGTAACTAAATTATTCATATTCGTGTTTTCTATTATTTTGATCTTTGATTTATGATCATACGATTCTTGAGTTATAATCAGTTTATTGATTACTTTGGTTTGTATAAAAACCCAGTATGCTTGTAAATAATGATTCATATTGCCGAGGCTGTTATTTGTGTTCTGGACTTAACTGGCTGGGCTAGGCAGATAGGAAGGACCGAACAGCAACCCAATACTGCTCGTACGTATTTTCTGTATCATTGCACGTTTCATATACAATAACGATTGTTATCCGAGACATAACAAGTGGCGACGGGGATTTTGGTACGCAAAAGAAAAAAGTATACAGTTTTCGACGGGGATTCTGAAAAAAAATACAGCAATCAAGACTGCTCGTACGATTTCAATCATCATTTGCGTCCGATCAATAAATTCACTCCTCTCTAAATTGGCGTTCATATAAATTACGGGCCCATACGATATAACAACTGGCGACAGGGTAAAAAAATGGCTTTAACTTCCGATCAATTTCAGTTGCTAATTCAGAGACAAGAGCAGCGTTTTAAAAAGAGTCAGTTGGATTTCATTGACAAGTTACACGCGACGCTGCTGAATCACCCATGCTTTGGGGGTGCAACGGAAGTTGACGCATTGATTTCTAAATTGCGTACAGAACTGGAAGTCGATTGCAGAACAAATGAATATACCAGTGAAAGCCTCAATGAATCCATGACAAACAGTAAATTAAACGAATCATTAGCAGTTATACATGATCAGCCCAGTGGTCCGGTACTGTCTGTTTCAGAGACATGCCCTATACACGGTCCAAGTCCTATTAACCCCGAAAACGGACGTGCAAACAGTGGATCAACCTGTTTACAGAAAGACAATGTTTTGCTAAATGCTCATGAAATTACTGTAGTACCCGCCCATGAAGAAACGGGAGACAAATCGAGCAGTATATTGAATACAGTGGCGCCAAATGAAACTAATCATGATACGAAAAATGTTTCTAATGAATCTAATGATCAAAATTCTGTAATTGTTCTGCCAGATCCCGATTATTTTGCTAATTCATATGTTCCTGTTCAAATCTCTTATAAAAATGGGGGAAAAATATCGGATGCATTATATGATAATCAAGAATCCAATACAACTTTCATAGATGCTGATTATCCTAATGATTCATTATCTACTAATGAGGTTCCGAGTAAATTCAAGGAAACTGTTTCAGAAGAATCAGACGCTGGTGACCTCAAATCGAATGTCGTTGATCCTCACGATCTAATCAGTTCTGGCGGATTCTCTGTTAAATACGACGAATATGTTTTAAATAATGTCACAATAATGGTAACTTGGGTACATGAGGATCCAACAGTCTTTCGTGGGGGAGGATGAATTCGAGAAATTTAAAATCCGGATTTCTCAAAAAGGGGAGGTGTTATATCCCCTGGTGAATTATGAATGATAACTCTAAGGACTATTTATCGACCAATGTATTATGACTATTTCTTATTGTACAGTTGTTACGTAACTAAATTATTCATATTCGTGTTTTCTATTATTTTGATCTTTGATTTATGATCATACGATTCTTGAGTTATAATCAGTTTATTGATTACTTTGGTTTGTATAAAAACCCAGTATGCTTGTAAATAATGATTCATATTGCCGAGGCTGTTATTTGTGTTCTGGACTTAACTGGCTGGGCTAGGCAGATAGGAAGGACCGAATAGCACCCAAGACTGCTCAGGGCATACGCTATAACAGAAATGTTAAATGAATTCTTGATTAGTATTTAAGTACTTAGTTAATAGGTATTTAACCATACTAATATCCATCAGTTTAGTTTTCTCCAATTACAAGTCTCTGTATTTTCTTTCATCAACATATAACTTGCTGTGAAGAGCGTCATGATTGATGTCTCATGACGTTCATCGATCAAGCTGATTTGATTAAGATTCCCATTTGGACTTCATATAAAGTACAACGTTTTTCAATATGTGTGAAAAAAAGTTATACTTTTTGTGTGGCATGTAGAAAAGCCATTATTGAATTAAAACCTGTTTAACAAAACATAAATATTTTTCCAAAGGTTGAAACAGTTCGAAAAGCCAAGTAACTAAATTCTATTAAATATGACACTACATGACTAATGATCATCGGGGTTACAACCCAGTAGTTAACATAACTAAATATACGAGTGTACAGAACAACCAATAAAATTAACTTGATTTGTCTGTACAAAGATTAGAATTAGTTCATATGGCGTTATGATGCGAATATCACCACAAAATTCGCGTTGATTTTCACAACAGTTGCAATACTAAAACAGTGTTTAGTTTCGGTTAACAGACTACTCATTCTCTTCATATTTCCCTTGTGTCTATTTTTTTTACAGATTTTCCCAAATTTAAATTTCTTTTAATTCTAAAGAATAAGACTGATGGATGTTGTCCTTTTTATCTTCATTTTTCTATGTAGGAATGAAGTATACAAAGATATGGCAGGACCATATTTCTTCCCCTTAGCTTGGTTTACTGAAGTAAGCGATTATAGGAAAAAAAGATTTTCAACAATTTTTTTGATGATACGAACTTCATTAACACTTGTAATTTCTCAAAATTATTTTTGTTATCCTATTTTCAATAAACCATGTAGTTCGATCAGCTAAAAACATTCACTTGTTGGTTACCACAATTTCATAAAAAACGCATTGTGCTTTTATCGTGATAAGTTTTCTCCCCAAAAATCGTGTCATTTACTAATAAACTTTACTGGTGACTGGTTTTTATATGCTGGTAGAAAACGTTCGTTTTTTTTATATAAGCGGCCTTCATTGCAAAATGTTCAAAAAAGGGGTCGCAACACCGTACATGTAATCCAGGATTACTACATTTAAGGTTTTGAATTAAAGTCATACTAGACTGAACTAGTCAAATCGCTGTGCCTTTAACTAACTAAAAAGTTTTCAAATAATCTTTACTAGAGTGATTTATTTCACCCTGACGTTTTTATAGTCATTATAAATGTAATTGGTCAAAGAATAGGATATTGAAATATAACAATAGGTTCAAACATATATTAAATGACGAGTTTTTATTACTGTTAATGTAATTCGGAAATATATTGTTCAAAACTTTTCAGCATTAACTATTCAAACAAAAAAATTTATTTTCATATGCGTATACCCTTCTAAATCAACGAAACAGTCGATTCAATAACGCAAAACATAATTGAGCATTAGCTCGCTTCACTTATTTATTTATAAAAGTGACTTCGTGGAACATTATCATAATTTACGTACTTAAGCCTGTTACTTCCGACCGGCCATCTGCAACCAGCTCTATCCTGAGATAATCTTCGTAGTTTTTTGCCAATGTTTATTCATTCTTATGCTGTTTGCCCCTATATTTCGCTACAATGTGTTGTTCGGTCTTTGGAATGTTAGAATATGGATATGCGATCGACATAGATTTATCCTGTGAGATGTGCCGAAACGCATACATTTTCATGTACTAAATTGTGGCGGAAAGTGCTCCCCTATATGACCGTTCTGCTGAACTATCGTAGGTAGATATCTCAGTCTTTCACTTCGTTCTCCCAATCTATGTGGCTCTATGATGCATTCATACTCGATGTTGTTGGTCTCCACCTTTGTGTTTGTGCTCCTCATCGGATGATCAGGTGGCATTGTAATCCCTAAATCCTCTATTTTGGAGCGTGTTTTCCTGATCCTGGAGCCGTGATTTATTATTGTATTTTGCCTGGACATTGTCCAATAAGTTTCACTTGTTTGGAACACAGTCATGTGGCATCTCCTCATTTGCTCTGCAGTTTGAGTGAACTTCCCTGTCACCTATATTGTGTGAACATTTCATATACTTGTACTTGTTGTTGTGGTCGTCAGAAGGGTCAGCGGTCTGCTGACTACTTCTGATTGATGTTAGCCTCCATCATGAGATATGCAAACTGTTTTTATGTGAAAGCCCTTTAATTGTCAGAAAATAGCTTGAATTGTTCAAGTGATTATTTTATTTTAAACACATAAATATTGGTACAAGGAAGCACCAGATACATATGCACCACACAAATCTAATTCGATTTGTGTGAGGGCTGTGATGCTGTCCAGATGCCCAAACTGAAGCAGGTGGTTTTCCTAGGGGGTCACACCCGGAGCCTTTGACCTAAAGATCTGATCCACAAGGCAATGGAGCATCGTGAGGAGATGCAGTCCCATGGTAGCCGGTGACTAACGATTGATTCATACACCATTTGTTCCATCAGGATACTGGAGCCCATGTGCACCATTGGTTTGGAATCCGGGTTTTCCAACTCCCCTAGGTGGACTTTCCGTTTCCACCAACCCGGTTAAAACGCCAGAAATTCGCTTTTCGTCCTCTCAATTTCGTAAACAACACCCCTGTCACGAGAAGACAGTGAGTAGAACTTTCCTGCCAGAGGCTATATACGCGTGGCTGTGTGAGAGCATTTCGAGTAGGAGAGCGTACTCTCCCCACTTTCGGCCGTACCAGAGCATTTGTGGGCGAGTTTTCTTTTTCTGACGGTTTGTTAGTAATCCTGAACTCAGGCTTCTCAATTACTGGGGTTTGAAACCGTCAGTAACCCTAGAGTAACTACAGGTGAAAGTAAATAATTTCATGCATACATTTACTTGAAATTTGAGTCATTTTTTCATAAATCCTTTTTTGTTTTTGTACTTATATTCAGAGTTCATGGGCATGTTGTTACTGTTTTGCTTTCAGTTTGCAGTGGCTGACAAAAAGGCGTTAAGTAAAATATCAAATTATATTCTTAAGCCTAAGAAAATAATACCTATTGTTTTATCAACTGTCGGTTCACTTGCACTTATATCAGCCGTCATTTTGATAGCAGTTCTATTAAGGCGCTATAAATTAACAAAAACTGATAGTGTTTCTATTCACGGCCAAGCTGAATCTACATTCGTGCCAACAGATTCTGGGTTCCGTAATAAATCAGATGAAAGCCCATATGATCAATGGACTGTTAAACCTTCACCAGAACACGATTCATTTCAGGTAAGTTAGCATCACACTGGCCTATCAGTGTTTTCCATATTAAACGTTATTTAGCCAAGTAATTAAAACTAGTCAGTTACAGATACTTCATTACTTTCGTGTCACTTCATTTTCTTGTCAGTTCGATAAACTTCATCCAGTAATTATTTTTTTCTGAGTGAAATGTATACATCAGATCTTAACTAGAGGTCAAAACACTTCATTCATCAATTCAAGTATTTTATAGTAACTTTTTAATGTACATCCGCACTACTGGTTTAGAAGAATTATATACTTTTGCGTGATAATTTGTTATATTACTGTATCCATCGCAATCCGAACCCTAGTTCTCCATTGATTTTGCCTATGTCATTTACACATTTTTTATCTGTGATCAACCGAATGTTGGTCTATCACTCTTGTCTAGAGAGTGCAACCAAGTCACAATTCTATATCCTAATCGGGTCTTTTCAAATTGTACCAGGTTCTACGTTGCTTATGACTGATTTATATAAGTATTGATTATTTCATCATCAAGTTCATACTATAAACGGACCATCCAAATAACTGAGAAGAAATAATATTGAAAGCATTCAGGATTATAATGTATTTCAGCAGATTTTCGAAATACTTTTGTTAATCATTCTGAAGTCCACTTTACAGTACGATTCTTATCAAGCAACTATTGACAGCACTCATTATGGGTTGATTTACATAATAAACCCTATAATAGTTTGTACACCAACAATATGTAAAAGTTTAAATAGTGATGTCTGAGAAGGCTTGAGATTATATATATATATATATATATATATATATATATATTTATTATCAAACGCTGCACATTTGTGCGATTATAGGAAGAGGTTATCGACTGCCTGCAATCTCCTCCAGACAGAGTACTGATAACTTCTATGTAATACGTAAGCGAATTTGACACTACAATTTTTTATTAACGAATAAACCATGCATAAAGTTGTCGAATCACACTCTTGCAGTGACTGGGCGACAAAATTATTTGCGTTAAACAATCACTCTTGGTGGAAGTAAGGTTCTTTCTGCTACTTAACTAACAATACCAATATTTTTTACTTATCTGTTCGCTTTTGTGTCTTACTATTTGAACATGACTGTCTCTAATAATTTGTCTTCTTTAAGTATATCTCTGTTAATATAGACCATTCATTCTCATCTTTTATCAATCTATTGGTGGGTGGTAAAAATTTTCTTAGTTAATATGTACCTAACGGGTGTGCTTATGTTCCAGGTTTTCCTGTTCCCATCTCAATTTGATTCGTGATTTTTCTATGAAATATTTTCATTCGGTGTATACAACCACTTTCTTTTTCTTTTGGTTGCTTTTCTTCTAATCCAAAAGTAGATGGATAGCTATATACCAAAAACAATAAGTAACTAATCATAATAAGTTTCTATCATCTTATTAAGTCCATTTCATCGTTTTTGTGTAAATAAATATATACATATACATAACAATGCAATTAATCTTAATAGATGATAATTCCTAGACCTGTAATCTATGAAAACAATTTTTCTGACACATTATTTTCATTTTTGTCATAAAATTATTTCATTGTAAAGTATGAATAGTTGTTGTTCAACACCCATAGAGGGGATTTCCAGTAACATTGAGTCAATCTTAGTGATGTTACTTGTAAACTTAATGGCTGAGTACCGTGGTTCATTCATTGAGTAGCGTACAACGTATGATTCTTTTTGGTCAAATGATCGTAGCCGATTGTAAATATAATCTGTCGACAAGCTCCCCCATATGAATAACCAATTCGAATGAAATAAACCTAAATATGGAACTATTTGATAGATCAACTTCTTCTACATGTCTACTCCAAGTTGGTAACAGTTTTATCATTAAGTTTAAATCTCTGTTCATCTTTCTGAGAAGTCCAGCAGTATTTCTATACCTCTAAATAAGCATACGTTACAGCTTGATCAAGTTTTATTTCATTATTTTTTGCTATGTTCTTAAACCAAGTTTTTACCGTTGATTTTGTATATAATCACTAGTAAGAGATTCCATTATCCTGATCGAAGTTAGGATCTTTTTTTATGTCTGGTTTACTTAATAATATGGTTTTGTTAAATAAATCTTGATTGGAATGCTAACATTTTTTAACCTCATTAGTGCATAGTTAGTGTCAAGCCTCTAATTGTATGTGACATATTCTAACTTCAAATGTATTTTAAAACATTCAGCCATCATTTCAAAAGGTTTCTGTTGTATGTTTATTCACTCAACACGGTGTTACGTTTGTCATGCATTAACTAATATGAAGTGATTTATTAATTCTATCGATATTTATATGAAATTTCAATGAATAGAGTAGGTATTACACACACGTATGACAAGTTCAGGACCGTCAATGTGATTCAAATCGTATATTAATACTAGTTTATTATTTTTGCTTTGTAGTATCTCTTTAGTCCTTCACTAACAGCTAAAATCAAAGGAATTTTAAGCATCAGATAGAAAAAGTTTTTTTTCAACTTGCCGTACATTATATTCAATTGTTCGAATTTCAAAGGAAATTTTCACTTATGTTATTGGTTAGTATTTGAGAAAGTCACTCACCATTGTCTTTTAATTCACATGGTATTTATTTTAAATTACAAAACCTTAACAGTAATCAATATCATATTTTATCCCGATGTATCGCTATAGAGAGGTGTTTTAAAGTTAGAATATCTGTTGGACATGTTTTGAGTTGAATTTTTCGATGTACGTAACTAAGACATTTAATAATAATGACTGAAGATATTGTCATACCGTTTAATGTATGGAGTCTCCAAATATTCACGTTCACCTTGATGATATCAGTGTCGTTTTATGGATATATCAATAAGTTTAATAAATTTATTATCCCTGCACTGTGCTACATATACTTAAATTCTTATTTCTATCTTTGTTAGGCGTGTGAATTATTTTTACTGATGATAGGTCTGAACTTTAATAATGAAGTGTTTTAAAAGGTCAAGATTATACTAGAACTACAAAGTTGTGTGCAGTTCTATAAATAAATGTAGAAGAAACCGAACCTCCTAAAGAGATGGGAATACTTACACAGGTAGAATTCTACTAAGCTACATCCGAATCACATTTAAATTCTTTCTTCACTTCAATTGATAATTCACATATTTAATGGGTTTTAATCTTTTATGTTATGTACATTCTAGATATCTACAGAAAATAAATATCGACATTTTTTAATCTACAGTCATTTTTGCTTTTCAGATAAATATTCCATGAAGAACGCAACAAATTACCTAACACCTTTGTAATAGCCCCTATTCTTATAGTTTAGCATTTCTCATGCCGTTAATTTTTTGACACCACTCGGCTTTATTAACAAACTAACTGAATCTTTTGTTTAAAGCTCAGTTCTGTTTGTATCTATCCATTTTTAAAGTGCTAGACCACTTCATCAAAATGCTCCAATAGTTTTCCAAATTATTATTTTCTTTTATTTCAGAAAGTTCGACAGTTTCATTTTTGGATAATACACAGTTTTACTCACCCTCTGTCCTTCCTTCATTAGAAATATACTACACTAACTACCCTCTTAGTTAAGATTGATTTACGAGCTTGTTAATACAATCCAAATTTAGTTGATATAAATATGAATTATTTCTGCTCGCAGTTCATTCTTAGTATTATTTCTATTTATAAATGGAAACTTAAATCCTTTTTAATAGAACTTAAATTCAATATTGTTTCAACCTTTAAAACATTAAGGAAGTAACACTGGTTAACATTATGCTCTATTGAGTTTTCTTTTATTCTTCATATTTATCTCCGTTTTTACTGTTTTCATCTAATTTGATATGAGTTGGCCCGTATTTTCTTGTAGAATACGGAAAAGAGTGAACCTCAACATTTCTTTATTCAAATCGGCTTGCTCGCTCCACATATATATTTAATAATTCTTTCGTAACGTTATCACCATATTTTTATCTCTAGGTTATCGAATCAAAACCCTTGCTCAAACCTAGTGATACGGCTGGAAAAACAGTTGCCTGATTTATTTATCCTCGTTCCTGTCAGTTCGTCTGTTAGTCCTTCAGCTACACATAAATGCTGCTCACTGTTTTCGCGAAACCAATCGAAGTATTTTTTTATCAAGACAAAAAGAATATGAAATAACTTGATTTCATTCTTCTATTATAGTGCTTCCCATAACCTTATCCCAGTGCTCATTGGAATTGTTTATCTAAAATGTATAATAATATAACCATATTCTAAACTTTTTAAAATTTAGAAACCAGTCTGTTGACTTTTCACACGTTATTTTCTGCAAACAATGTAACAATGTTTCTTGATTTTCTCACCTTTGAGCTTTTTAAGGTTCAACGCTTAAAGCTTATTTAGGTGCTTTCTTTTTTAGCCTATATTAGATTTGCCGTATGCATATGATTATATACGTACTTTATATCATAATAGATCCTTGACTGTAATAGGATATTTTTGATATTTTCTTTCACTCACATTCCTATCTAAACTCTATTCTATCTAAGCATCATTTTCGCTCGGATCATGCTTTCCCACTTCCGTCTACATTATATTCAAACAGTTACTCCGTTTATTCTTTCTAAGAATATAGTAACTTTAATTTTGGTTCACGAATCAAGTATCTAGATTATGTATTTTTGTTATTTCTGTCCACGATTTGTTGTACTCTGCTTATCCCTGTTAGTGCTTTACTCCCCAAGCCGATTTACCTACTGTGTCCTACCTATCGTTTTTACAAATACTGCCTTTTGTTTGTATTCGCCGCTTTAATTAGCATTTGTAATATTATTAAAAAATCCTGTTTTTTATTCTCAACAATTCAATACATAATAGAGGTATTGGATTTTAATGATCTTTTCAAACGTTTGACGTAGTTGATAACAATTTTCTCCATGGTATTTGTGTAGGCAGTTTATTGATTAAACATTACAGTGATGTGGTAGGTGTTTTGATAGCTGTTCAAGAGAATTTAGTTGCATTTCAATCACTGTGTAACAGGACAAATGCGCAAGGTTTCTGCCCACATGCACACGACATTCAAGCGTGTAGGATGGAATGTGATTCATATATGCTCTGTGTTCGTCAGAAGAAAAGTTGTTATTATCTTCAATTTTCTGTATTAAGAAAAGTCGTCTCGTTTATTTAAAAAGCAGACGTATAAGAAGGTTAGTTTGAACCATGTTGTTGGGATGACCCTGCATTTTTCACGCAAGCGACATAACAAGCTCGTGAGTCATCAAGGAGCATTTCACCCAATCAGCGATTAATTAGAAGTTATGTTACTAAAATAACGAAAATGGAAAAGTCACATGTGGAGATCCTGATTGACACACTGCTACTATGTTTAGCAGTATTCTAGAACTTTCGGTAAAACTCAAGGACTTTTAAATTACTATAAAATCCCCGTATTTTCTGTACATAAATGATCCCTGTATTAAAGTGCTTCCCTCACACTTTGTGCTTTTTCTCTGGTCTTCAAGTCGGTGTATAGTTCTAGCTCGGGGGTACGGAACTAGTTTAGGGAAGCGAATATAGCGTTCACAATCGGCCAGACGTAACACATGTCAATGAAACTGCTGAAAGTGTATAAGATCTACTTAACGAGTCATAACACCGATTTGTTGAGAATTGGAAGCTACTTCATGACCTCTTATTCCATAGATTGCGAGGATGGTTTTAATACTGACTATTTAATGCTACCTTTTTTATTCAAATACTGACACTCAGTTGTCCAAGCACAGTATCCACAATACAATGTGTTAGGAATTTATTTACATTATTTTATATATTGTTTGGTCAGACCGTAATATCAACACATCAGAGGTTGTAAATAATCCATGACGTAAACAGGGCTGTATTTACGCTATTCATGCTGTAATTGACAACTCTATGGATTTTTCCTCTCCACTTATTTTATCATCTCTTTCGATTAAAAATGTTTGATTTGTATTCTAAATGTTGCCGGTGTTTCTATCAATCTAATATTCTATTACGATGGTGGTATTTGTCTCAAGTTTCTAACCGAAATGAATGTTCAGAATAAAGGTGCAGACCTTGACTAAGTAATTCATTATTAAGAGCTTGTCAGGACTATAGCTGAAAAGCTGGGAAACAGTTCATCTTCTTGTTAAAAAAATTTCATTTTAAAAAAAATGAGAACTATCGCCTCTGAATGGAGCAGTAACCAAATTACTTCATGACCAAGTAATGTATACAAGTTTAAAATGCTTCAAAACTGGATTACATGATGATTGGATTTGGTTATTTACTTATTCTCTGAAGGAACGACTTGCATTCAGCCACGAATTGTCAAAAATCCAATTTTCTATTCATTGAGATATTTACGAATTTGTCTTTATTTTTACTCTAATATCAGTGAATACTTTGTTTCTGTTAGTTGACTTGAGTTTAGGGCAAAACTATTATGACAAATTATCTAAACTAGTGTACTTCACCACATGTTTGTTCATTAGCTATAAATAGTGTTTACTTATTAATGTGCAAAGTAGAAATGAAGTTATTATATTCATTCAATTCCACCTCTAAATACTTAATTTATTGTATTTTCGAAAGCTGTAAATACTAAATATCAAAGTATGGAAAAGGAATACAGTCTTATTATCAAACGTAGTAAGACAGTAAAAAATAATTTTCAGTGAGCATAATTAGTTGCTTTAACGGTACACTACTACTTTAACTGAATTTACAAATTTATTAGTTCATGCAAAAACAACTGAATAAGGCTGAGAAAAGGTTCTCTGTGAGATTTTGTAAAATCCAGTTCTAAAAGTAATTGAATTCTTGATTAATGTTTTAGGATAAGAAACATACTAGACTTACCAAAATTAAGTTACATTCGGGGGATATTTGTTATCAAGTGATTTGTTTACTATTTATATATTATACAGAAGGGGAATATAATCAAACTTTCTTAATCACTTCGAAATTGTAGTTGTTTCCCAGTCCAAATTTCTTATTGATCTATTAATTTTAGCCTAATCGTTAAGAGCTTCGTATTGATTAATCCGTTCCTTTTTGTCATCAATTGTTTTGTTATTCGTAACTCTTGAATAGCGTTTTGCAGAATACCTGATTTTTTTCGTTATGACGAGCGTTATACTCTAGTTTGTTGTTGCTTTGTTACCCTGGATTTTTGTTTCTAAAACAGGGTGAAATATACGATTTCATTACCTCCTAATCTTAATATTGTGTATAAATTGATGTTGTTCACCAGTTACAAAATATAAAATAAGGCTATTAGTTTCCTCTTTTCATTTTTGCAGTTATCAATGAAAGAAAATGTGATAGGGATCACAACCACATCCACCCGATTTATCACTTTCCTAAACTACATGCCACTAAATTGTATTGACTAAGAAATCTGAAGTACAAATTAGGTAATAAGTTACGTGCTTCAAGAATTATTGATTGTCCATCTGATCTCCGAGACTGACTTTTCAAGACTGTTAAAAGACAGTTAAAGTGAATTTTTACTATTCATTTTCAACGGACTCATTTTATCCTAACATTTCATATCAAAGTATTAACTAAGATGAATGTTTTTTCAATGTCCGCTCGTATCAGAATTATTTGATATAACTATGTACTACACTGAAAAGTTATTTATTTTGATAAACATTATCTGAAATAAATAATATGAATTGAAAGAGAACTAAATATTAATTATTGGGTACACCGTCCCAGAAACCGCTACAGTTCATATACATCAAACTAACAATCGTAAACCCATATGACAGGCAATTTAGTTGATGTGTTATGAAAAACAATGAATGTTTTTCATCGATCGTTGTTCATTATTCAATGTTATTGGTGAAAAAAGAACACAAAACAGTCTTCAAGTATATTAAGTACCTGGATTCTGTTGAGCACCACTGACGCTTATGAACTAAACTAGTTGAATCACAGGATGTTTTAAGCATTTCCATCGCTCAGTAGTACGTTATTTAAGCAGGATACCAGGGGTATACACACGTGCACGTAATATTGGTTTGCGTTGAACTGTTGGTCGAATTTTGGATTTATTATATGTGAGTGGGTATTTCAACTATTAAGCTGATTTCCTTAGACTTCTATCCTTCCATCTTGGTATGTGTGATATATAGTTCCACTGAACAATCAAAACGGAAAAGTCTTTCATCTATCAAAATACATATATTATTAAGAAAAGAGAATAAATTAAACGTAATTAAATTATAGATCAGAGGGGGTTTTGTGGAGAATTTAGTATTTTCACAGTTGAAATCATGAGTCAATTGAAGCTAGACCACCATCGAAAACCTGGAAGCACTGGACGGCCGTTTCGTCCTATTATGGGACTCCTCAGCAGTGCGCATCCACGAACCCGCTCTCGCGAGCGAGATTCGAACCCAGGACCTACCAGTCTCGAGCCGAAGCTCTTAATTAAATTAATTTAAATATTAAACTTTCCTGCAAGGCTCAGGGTCATTAATGCCTTGTTTACAAAATATGAGAATATCATCATTTATATATTCACCTTGTACAAACAATTGCTGTTTTTGTATCAGTTTTCGTGTGTCTGATTTTTCTATTTACTATTGACTTAGTTTAGTCATGTGATAAATCATAATACTAATTAAAATAACTCGTAGTGTCATGGAATAAGAAGAGAATTCAGCGAAGGAAATTTTCTTTTTGACGAAACCATTTACTTAGGCTGTACATTCGCATATGTATATGGTTATATGGAAAATATATGTCTACAGGAGGATAGGAAAGATTACATCATAAATTGATTCGAGAATAAATAACAAATGAGGTGACGTACTAATCAAGGGGTAAGGAAGAAAATAATTTGTGGGTCAGATAATAGTTCAATTGACAGATATGAAGAAAAGCGACAAACAATAAGGTCATAATAATAGACTGAATAATAAGGGGTTAGAGTTAAAAATACAAAACAGTGATTTAAAAAATAAAAAAATCGATAACAACCAAATAAAAGTGTAGAAAAAAAAAACAGAAATTAGGTCCAAGGAAGGGTGAGAGTTTGGACAAATTGTTTCTGCACGCAAAGTTCAGGTTTGAGTTCGTGGATTGTCAGTGCCTCAGCAGTGCATAAAATATTGATTCGATCCGGCACCTTTGACTCTTTGATTACTTTGATTACCTTGAGAGTTTGGACAAATTGTTTCTGCACGTAAAGTTCAGGTTTGAGTTCGTGGATTGTCAGTGCCTCAGCAGTGCATAAAATATTGATTCGATCCGGCACCTTTGACTCTTTGATTACCTTTGATTACTTTAAAAGAAGAGCCTTTTGGAGCGATTTGTCCACAGTTAATTAAATGTTCCTGTATCGAACTAGTAATTTTTTACATTCTCCTTTTAAAAGCCAAGCCCGATAGTGTTCCGAGATGCGTTTGGAAAGTGATCGCTTTGTGCGGCCTATGTAACGTTCCTCACATGAGCAAGTAAATTTATAGTTACACATTGATGTGGCCCAAAGCGAAAGTTTATCCTTAACGGACCCCAGAATGTTAGGCCGGTTAGAGAAAAATATTCGAAGCTTAGCTGTGTAGAATGTTTTATCCAACGATTTCGAAATCCGTATATTCAGGATTTCAGCAGCCGTATCTCCTTTAAATTCCACATTCATAAACAAAGTTTTCTTCTATGCTGTCGAAGCTTTTTCCTGATGAAGTCTAGGTGTTAAGTTGCTATCGACGAACCTGTGTGGATAAGCATTTTTGATGATGGTCTGTCAACGATGAAATAGTTCTTCATCTATTGTGTCATTGGAACAGATTCACTTGATCCTAGTGGATAAAGAGTAAATTAAGTTCTTTCGACTCAATGGGACCCAACTATGGAAATTCGTGAATTGTCATTTCATGTAGTTTTTATATATATAGATCTCTGTAAATAACCATCAGCCATTTCTTTTAAACGGACATTAAGAAAATGAAATTCATGGTTTGCTTCTGCTTCTAAGGTGAATTTTATTGACGGGTGACAATTATTGAAAATATTCAAGATTTCATTGAGGTCCATGTCTTCTTCACAAATAATAAAAGTATCATCCATAAACCTCTTATATAAATGAAATCTCTCAATTATTGGTCGAAGTACCGGATTTTCTAGATCGGCCATGAAACAATCAGCCAGGAGAGGACCCAATGGCGATCTCATTGCAACTCCATCTGTTTGTCTATAGAAAACATCATTAAATTTAAATTGCACGTTGAGCGTACATCGTAGAGGTAGTTCTTTAAGATAATGTTTTGGGATACACATATCAAGATTATTGTTTTCAATATAATCACATAAAAAACGAATAGTTTCTGTGAGAGGAACATTTGTAAAAAGCGAAATGACATCTAATGAGAACATTTTCTTACCGATTATGTTGATATTTCTGATTGAGTTAACAAATTCAAAGGAATCAAGAGAATTTTATTTATTGATATGATTTTTA